TTTTTTTTCTGTAAAGGGATTTGAGAAGCCACCTTTAAAGGCGCTATATCAAATAAAGTTTATTATTATAATATGTATTATATCTGTGTGTGAGTGTGTGCGCACACACACGCGCATGTTGGTCATTGAGAATTTCTGGGGTTCCTATGAGATGACTTGTAGGTGGTACTTGGATGCTTTGGTTTGATCAGGGGTGGTACTTGGTCCAAAAAATTTGAGAACCACTGTAACTAATTCCATAAAATAGATTTTCTTTGAGTAGTATTTTTTTCAGCTCATTTTTAATTGAATCCTACAGTCTTCATCACTAGCTACACATTGTGTATTAGTATGCTGCCTTTAATGTTTTCTTAGTACTGGCTAAAAAGACAGCATTTAACTCATCACAGAATAATCATGTGCTTTCTGTCTTCCTCTAAATGTGTTAATATATTCACATTCTTTGCACAAAATAACATCCACCTTAATTTCCTTGCAGCATCAACTAGTCTCCCATATAGGTTTTCAAATATTCACTTACTGGCCATGTCAATAGTTAATCCTTACTTTTTTATGAAACAAGAGGCAGACTCACTCACACTCTGGGTTTAATTTGTATTCTATGGAGTGATTGCCTTTCCAATGTGGAACAATAAGAGTGTAAAGATGTGAATAAGCAGATCTTACATTGTGTTGGACTATTCATTATATATCTACTGTATATCCTTAATATAACCTGGAACCTGAATGTGCAGTGCTTTATATAACATATATAATAACACTTCAGTCACTAACTTGGCAAAGCACCTTTTTCCTCATTCTCTCCTCAGTCTTATTACAGTTTCTTAAGAACAGTCTATTGAATCCAATACTTAATATAGAAAGGCACCTGTAAAGTACAGCACCAGCATCTGGTTTTGTTTGCAAGTAAATCTGAATGTCATCAACATAATAGTGAAACCAAACTTCATGATGTTGAATAATCAACAATAAACAATTTAATCAATATATGAGAGCGCATGTTTTTTGCAGACTAAAACTTACTTTGACTTTTTGAGAAGCCTTGTTCCTCCCCTATTCATGTATTTTTTATCTTTCTATGAAGTTATCAATTACGTGGCTCATTTGTTATGTTTTGTCTTTGTCATTGATGACTTCACCTGCTTTTTAATGTAAAATGTATTAAAATGTCGAATGAGCGACATTTTTGATTGCTTTAGTTTTTATCCCTTTTCTGAGGTAGTGAACAAACTTGCTGTTAATATATGATAAATGCTATCTTTCAGGTCAGCCATTTGTCAGCTCTTGTGGAGGTAATCTTGAAGGACCCACTGGTTGGTTTGCAAGCCCTAACTTTCCTGACAACTACCCTAATTACTCTGACTGCATATGGTATATCACAGTACAGGAGTATGAGACCATACTACTGGAATTCAGAGAAATACTGTAAGTGAACCCTGTTGTTCACACTGTTTCTTACAGTGCTCTACTATCCACTGTATGTAAAGACAAACCAAAAGGAATGGTCTTAGGCTATAAGATCATGAACTCTGCCTAATCAACATTGCTTTTGGAAGTACCAAACCCAAATATAAGTGTACAAACCAAATAATTCAGATAATTCAGTCACCCCAAGGATTCCTTGCTTAAACCGATGAGTGACTCTCATGTAATCAATGCTAAATGTAATATCAAATGGGTTATTAGGGGCACTGAGGCAGTGTGAGTCAATGCTGATGGACTTTTCATTCTTAAACTTCATCTTGAAATCTGTCACAACTGAATCCACCTGAAACCTAAATGCTTGGCTGCTCTGTAATTGACATTACATTTAGACTTATTAACCAGAAGGTAGGAAATATGGTGCCTGATATCCACCCTGTGGGTTTTCTACCAATGGGATCTTTGGCTATGTTCAATTAACAATTTTAATTTTAATTCTCTTACAGTTACTGTATCTTTAAATAGCAGTAGACTCACCCTTCTGTCTAAGAAGCAGCTTTGCTTTTAGAGAGCACATTGATTTCCAGAGAAACAACATTGTACCATTGCAAGGATAGCATTTTGTCAACAAGCAAATGAGAAACCAAATTTTGTTATTTGTGTTGTTATAAAGAGTATACCATATTACACTCCTTAGTAAAGTTACATGACTGACGTTGTATTCTAGTCAGCACTCTATAATAATTTGATTTCTTTGCTGTTACTCCCTAGACTTGAAATTTCAAATGGATGTGTTTATGATTCGATATCTGTGTACGACGGACCCTCTACCAGTTCCACACTCCTGGGAATAATGTGTCAGAATGGGAGTTTCACATTCCAGTCCTCTTCCAACTCTCTAACTGTGGCCTTCAAGTCTGATTATTCAGTCACAGCTCAAGGTTTCCTTGCTCAATACCAGGCTGTCTCTCCAGGTAACAAGGATAAAATGCTGGAAAATGCAAATGTCAAAAGAAAATAGGAAACTTGATGATGACACTATTTTTGTTTTTTAGCTGAGCATGAAAAGTTAAAGTATGGCATCTGTTTAGATTTTTAAGAGGCTGTTTGAAGATCCAGAGCTTAATCTGTGTGTAAAAAGAACAATTACAATCTAACCATAACATGTGTCTAATCTCTACTTCCAGTGCAAGTGGAGTGCTCTGCTGGCTATATGAAGGTCATGCTAGAGACATCCTATCTTAGCCTTTTGAACTATACTGTCAATGATGTGTATGTGAATGATCCAGGCTGCCAACCAGTTGCCACAGAATCCTATGTGGTGTTTAATATTCCACTTGATGGCTGTGGGACAGATCGAAAGGTACACCTTCCTGGAGAAACGTGTTTGTCTTCTATTTTTGAGAAGATACTTGAACTTGAACTTTATTGCCATATGTAACCGGTACTGGTACCCATGAATATACTACATCTGGTTGATTAAGTACATGATGTACAGTAAATTTAAATTAAGACAAGTGAGAAACTAGCCCTGGCTTGCAAAATAAATATACTAAAAATGGCTATGAGTATGTTTATTTATCCAAGCAGAAATGTACTGTATTAACACACAGCATAAATGCTATATCCCAAGACTGGTTATACTATTTATTCTGTGTTAATACATTTGGCAGACTGTCGACATTTATTCATTTGAACAAATCAGATTGCGTTTGTAATCATAACTATAGATTTTGTGCGTGATTCGCAATTGTTAGTATGCAGGAACAGATTTTAAACCTGTTACATTAACAAAGCAACTTAATTTAAAAAAATCTGTAGAATTGAAAAGTAAAGTTCAGAAGAACTGGAATAAACAAGAATGTTTAGACATTCCCTACTTCCTGAATTTGGAAACTTAACACAGACAAGCACACCCACTTCTGCTGTGTGTTTTCATCTTCAGGCCGCCAACAACAGCATCAGGTACATGAACATGGTCAGAGCAGAGCCCTCGGGGGCAGTGATCATTCGGCAGACCAAGCTGCAGCTGCGTGTGGGCTGTGAAATGCAGCGAGACACCGTGGTGCGTGTAGTGTACCTGTCCAGAGAGGAGGAGACGGCCAATGTGACCAGCTCTGGCCGCTACAATATCAGCATGGCCTTCTACCACTCCAGCAGCTTCCTGAGCACAGTGGAGGAGTTCCCCTACATTGTGGATCTCAACCAGGACCTTTTCATTGAAGCTCAGCTCTACAGCAGTGACTCCAACCTGGTGTTGTTCGTGGACACCTGCGTGGCTTCCCCTTCAGATTTTGACTTCCATTCCCAAACCTACACCCTGATCAAAAATGGGTATGGAGCTCTTGTGGGCCACATCCTTCACCAAAACCCTGGCTGAGCTTCAGTGACGTTGATAATCGGCAGAAAGGGTTTGATGCCCTTCTTTTGTCAGGGCAGTTTTTTCAAAGGCTCTTCAGTTCTTACTGGCTGAACAGTAAATTGGCAGAAAAGGATAAACTGGGGTCACCTGTACTTTGTGACAATTAAACTAGATAATGATTTTTAGAGTCGTGTGAAAATTGTCCATTTTCTATTTTAACTCTCTTCTGTGACGTGCAGTATTACAAAAATCCGATAAGTATGATGTCTGCTGAGATAATATGGTCATTACATTGCAAAAGTCAAGTGTCCTCACTTGCCACATGTTTCTTTTTGTCCAGGTGTGTACGAGACGGCACATATGGTACCTACAACGCTCCCCTTGGTAGGGCACGGCTTCACTTCAGCTCCTTCAGGTTTCTGCGTACCTATCCCTCAGTCTACCTGCAGTGCAAAATTGTAGTGTGCCAGGCCTATGACTATTCCTCACGCTGTTACCAGGGGTGCCAACCCCGCAAGAGGAGGGACCTGAGTTCCTCCCATGAGAAAGTCAACGTGGTACTGGGGCCCATCCAGCTGAGGGACCAGGCCACAGGAGGTAAACCTGCTCAGAGCATGGCTAAGGCAAGAAGACAGGGTATTGTGCTGGCTTTGTGCTGTTCATTTAATCTTTTTATTATTCAAGTAATAATAAAAAGTAGGTAGCTGCATCAGCACACATAGGCTGAAGGGAAAAGAAAAGAGACACGACATTGTGGCTGTGGAGCCGTCTTCTGCTTTCTTTTCCTTTCAGCATGGAATACTTTTTTTCAGAAGGAATCTAAAAAAAGGCTTGATGACACAATTCGAGTCTTTTGGTTTAGTTTGTTTTCTGTTATAAAAGAAGTAGAACATTTAGAAAGGACTATGTGTCCAGGAAGTGACAATGGTTTTAATTATCTATTATTGAACATTATATTGGAGATATAGATTGTTTTTGTTAAATACTCAGTAAAGTTTTACGGGGATTTTTTAAATGTAAAATTTATAGAAAAATCATAAGAGGAGGTACTACTCCCTTGTTTTTGAGATTGGAATTTCTGGAACAATTTCATTGAGACATAAAAAGTCAAATCTAACTTTCTTATCATCTTTTATTTTTTTAAATGCTTCCTTCTCAACACTGCAATAAATTGTGTAAACAGTGTCACGCTGAGTATATGTTTTCTGACATTAGTGTTCTCACTTTTGGAGACACGTGTCTCTTCATTTAGAAAGGAAGTAAGGAAAAAATAAATGATCCCCATCATATTTCTTTTTATACTTGTCATTTCAGAACTGCTGAGCAAGCAAGAAGCCCCCCTGGGTCAGAGCCCTTCAGGACAGATCCCGATGATGCTTTCTTTCATGGTGCTTGTGGCTACAGTCTTGGCACTGGCTGCTGTCTCTCTCAGGCTGTACAGGAATCAGCAGAAAGTATATGCTGGATATAAAATTCTCAAAAACTAATCTAAATCTAAACCTCACGTTTTTACTGTCCTGTTTTCTTATTTAATGTTCAACATGCCAGTCCACACAACATGAAAATATTGAATTATTTATTATGTTGTCATTCTTTGGTGTGGCTCAAAAACATTGGGCTGTTATCAAATGTAAAATGCATTGTCACCACATAAACACCATATAAACAAATAAATATTAATGATCATTATAAATTCTTTAATACTTGATTGCTTATTTTCGGCACATTTATGTACTGTAAATATATCAACAATCATTGACATCGCTGTGTGAAGTTAAATACTGCTGACTTTTATTGTTTTTCTTAATTTTTTTCTTTTTCATTTTGCAAAAAAAACTCAAATTTTAGCTCACACTTCCGGAATAAAGAATGTAAACATTGTATTCTCAGGAGCTACAAATGCGTTGAGATCAAATTTGATTGATAAAAATCAACATTTTTAAGCTGTTGTACTTTTCTGAGCTACCAGCACCTAATGACAAAGGACTTATTTGTCCTGTATAGCAGCAAACTAAATAATTTAGGTGTTATATTTCCATATACTGCAAAAAAAATCTTTTTTTACTTTAATTTCTGTAATTTTCCTAGTCCTTGTAATGCAAATGATTCTAGAAGTGCCCTGTTCATTATCTCTCCAAAATATTGGATAGACCCTTCAATGTTTGTCATAAAAACAGGGTTTCAATTTAAAAAGACTGAAACTGGAAGAATATTTCTAAGAATGTGAAATGTGAAGTCAGGTTATCTTCTGTAGCAGTTTTTTACTTCAAAAAGTATTTTACCTGAGTTGATGCTAAAACATGGACCATGAATAAATAATGCATGATTTTAAGGAAATGACGAAAGTGCATGGACAATGAGAGAAAGCTATAAAACACGGACTTCTGAAACCACAATGTGATTGAATAAAGACAACGATTAAGTTTAACTCTGGACTTTTCTGTGAGTTTTTATTCATTTGCCTCCTACATCTATTCAGACCACACAGGATCTAATAAAACCAAATCCCGAAAGCTCTCATATAAAGACATACAATATTCTTTGCTTCTGTTCAGCCTTTTCATACAGTAAATTGGGCTTTGTCATTTGCTCTGAAGACTATTCATTTTCATAGGGCAGGCTCAGTAGCCAAAATGATCTCTTTACAGTAGAAAATTTAAGTACCTCTAGGTAGTGGTATGTACTGTATGTAAGTTTTGTAGTCTGGATCTGTGACAATATATTTACTCAAAGTCTTTATCATTATGAAACATACATAAAATAATCTGTGATCGTCCATCAATATTACCGTTCAGAAAGGTGAACGGGTCTTTATTATATATATATTTATATAATACGATACAATTCAATAATAGAATACAATATTATTAAATGTGTAAGACAGAAGAATCGTAAATGAGGATTGTTAGTCACTCTGAAGATAGTAAGTGCTTTGACCTTTCAGTCTAGAATCTAATCTCTTATTGATGTATAGTATGTAATTTAAATATGTATCAAATGTTGTTAGGAACAGGCTCATTCATTCTTCAGTAACATTAGGGCTATGTTATTCTGCATTGATGCTCTTTGCATAATCTAGAGAACATTCTGTCCTGTGACTCCTTCTTTGTTTCACTGGGCAGGTATGACTGGAAAGCTCTGTTTTAATTACATTTTAATTAAATTTACTCATTAATACAAGTACAGTTCTTATTTTCGAAATGATATATGATTGTCCAAGGACAATGTTAGGGTATTGCACCACATATTTGTAATGCAGGGTGTATTCTGCAATTCTGTTACCTTGATCTCTTTCCTAATGATCCAGATATTGCCTGCAGCGTGATGTCATTTACTGTGTGAGCTAATTAACAGTGAGAAAAAACAGGTGCTGCTCCGCGTGTGAGGAAGCTATGTGGGAATGTATGCAGGTTCAGCTATGCTCACCATAACTAACCGTCATAAAACTCACATTTTTATTATAATAGAATTGCATAAAGACACATAACCCAATAAACAGAAGACTTTCAATATTTATTTTGGAGACAAATTAAATGTTTGTCTTGGAATGCCATTGAATAAGCTTTACTGCACACTGTCCATATACTGTTTAACAATGAGACTATGATAACTAATGGGTTTTTTTACAACCTGTGCATCTGTATTATTTTCCCACACATTCATATTACTTTTCAAAGCATTTTTGGCTTTATTGCAGCCATAAAACCTTTATTATTGGACAGACAGAGAAGTATATAAACGGGAATAGGACAACTCCTGCAGCACGACCACGGAGGAAGACTATGGAGACCATGGTGTTACTCCTGATCTGCACTGTGCTTGCCTTCACCCCTGCACAAGCTTGTAAGGATTTTAAATTTGTTTCTTTTCTTAGAGTTACTTTAGCACCTGATGATACTGTTTAATTTACACGCGTCAATTGGTCTTGAATAGGATTATGTAAATTATATTAAAAAACTGTGAGAAAAATACTTTTTGCTTGAAGATATTGTCATATTGCTTTTGCTATTGCTTTCAGTAAAAGTACAAAGAAGTAAAAGTGCTTGAAGTAATTCTTTGCTCTTAAAGGAAAATCCTGTTTAAAGCCAGTCTTAGCATATTATACAAGACAATTGCTACTGCTACCTATTTTTTTTAATTTGCTACATTGCTATGATAAAGTTCAAAAAGAACAAAGAACAAAATCTGATGGTTTTAATTCCTATCCTAAGAATGGAACAGTATTTTGTCTGGATCATTGCCAGGCTCATTGTAAATCTAGAAATATGCTGAGCGGCATTAAACACACAATAGATGAATATTGTAAATAGCATTTATTGTGTTTTTAATTAATCTTTTTATAAAATGAGGTCACATTCAAGTCTGCTACAAACCTTTCACTGAAGGTATGGAAACATTCTCCTTCTGATCCAATTTTATTTTTCAGACACTTCCTTTCCCTGGACTACATATCCTTCATTACCCCAACTTTCCACTGAAACTGGTAAATCATAAACGTTTTCAATTTAATAAGCATCTTTGCTCATGCCAACGAGATTTCAAAAACCTCCGAGTATTTCTTTAAAAATGTGCCTTTTAGAGAACCAAATTTACCATATCTACTTTTCCCTTTCGATTTGCATTTTAGCTTGGCAGTGTGGTGGCACTCTGACCCAATCAAGAGGACAGTTCACAAGCCCCAACTATCCCCAGAGCTATCCAAACAATGCACATTGCACCTGGAACATACGAGCTAGTGGTTACCGGACTATCTACCTGGAGTTCTCTTACTTTCTGTAAGCACCTTACCATGTGGTTTGCACGCATATTACAGTGCTCTTTAAAATGCTGATGTTTATGAGATTATTTAGCTTGTTATAACAGTGCGTGCTTGCCCAATGATTCTTCAGTTCTTTAATTTAATACTGCTGAGGGCTCTTATGCTCGGGCACTGAATTTTCAGATGTTATTATTGTTTATTTTGACTCCTAGTTTGGAAACTACCCCTGGCTGTGGATATGACAGAGTTTCAGTATACGATGGCCCTTCATCATCCTACCCACTTCTAGGGAGAATCTGTGGGGGACAAAAAAGAACCTACAATTCCACCCGCAATTACATGACAGTGGTTTTCGAAAGTGACTCTTCCTCTACTTACAAAGGATTTGAAGCATTCTACAGCTTTCATGGTGAGTCCAGTCTGTGCATTAAGAAATGCCACAAATAAGTCATCACCATGGCATGTAAGGATTGCAGTGTACAGCACATGGGTCTAATCCTGCTTTGTTGGTTCACACCAGGTAGTTGTACACATCTGTCTAATGAAATAGGAATATATACAGTATGTTCCAGGAGAAGATACTTTACACATGATATGAAGTAAATTCATACTGAAGTCAGTAATAACACTTAATGTTGTCATGTCCCTTCATTTTTATCCAACCATCTATTTTCTAACTGCACCCCAGGTCCGCAATTGAACCCAGGGCCCCAGTGCTGCAAGGCCACAAAGGAAAACATTGCACCTCTGTGCTGGCAACATATGAATTATTTATGATAAATTCCAATTTAAAATTAAATATCACTCTTACTGTCTGATTGTGCCACAATGAGGTTGGGGAATTAAGTCACAGTCTCAATAGCACATTTACCCCTTGTAGTACTGGAGTACTGAATTGCATCAGGACCTTGTAAACGTAGTCAGGACTTGAATCAAATCTTTGAGGATGACATTGCTCGACCTGATTTGATCCTGCTAAAGCTCTGCTAAGGTGTGGTGTCACCTCTGATAAATATGAACCGTCTAATCAGCCATTATCAGCAAAATCCCCCAAATGTGCATTAGGATATACATTTTGCTTAATCAGTGAGAAGAGAAATGTGAGCACATTGAGTTCAATCATTAATTTCTTTAGAAAAAAAATGAAAAAGCACGAATTCTGAAGCTGCATATCCTAAGAAGTTTAGGGAATGCTACTGTTTCACTGAGGTCTTTGGAGGGTCAGTGTAATTCATTTGTTGCTGCATTCTGGTGTATAACTCTATTAAAACTCATGTGAGCTTTTCACTGTAGCTTCAACACTACAAACTTTTGGTACATTAAGGTTTGACCGAACTACTGAAATGGTGTGTAGGAGAGGGTTTGCTATTGTTATTGCCTGATTCATGTGTTAGAAACACAATGCATTGTTGAAAATTGACTATACTCAATGATTATGATTTTTAGCAAAGTGAGTAAGCCTGGTATATTAATTATGTCAAATAAATATTTATTTACGTGAAAGACACATGTTGGAGGAACTGGGTTCTACAAAGGCACATTAAAATAAAATGTGTTTAAACTTTGAATCAATTATCTGTGAGTTCACCACTTCAGTTTTTCATTATTTTTTGTAGCAAGTTGTTAAAAAACAATTGCTTTATCACTGAAATGTAAAATATCACAATTAATATCAATTTAAATTAATGTTACAATGCAGCTCCATCTCAACATATTTAGTAATAATGTAAAATGTTAATGCTATCTTCTCATTTGTTTTTCAGATGTTGATTCATTCCCAGGTACTGTGATTTTATGCAAAATACCTCCTTCACCTTTCTTTTACTGTCAGACACAGTATCGTCAAAACTACTGAAGCCTATTAACACCAAGGATTAAAATAATAATTGCATTTAAATGAGAAAACATGCATTTAAACAAGGTAATATGGCATTTAAACAAGACAACATTGTGCTTAAACACAATTATCACTTTGTAGATAATATTGCTTAATATATTAAAACTTGTAATATATATGCAATAATATTATCTAATGCAAAGCAACATTGTCCTTAATAACAGAAAAATATTGTTACACTCCTCTTTGTGCAAATGAATTAAGGAACACAAATACTTTTTGTGTCTTTTGAAGTAAACATCCTGTAACTGAATATCATTTTCACAAAAACAGCAATGATACGGTTTTACAAACGTATATTATTCTTCATGTGAAACTGCAGAAACATGTAGAAAGGTTGTTGTCTAATCTTTCAACATTGAACCAAATACATTTACTGTAACTTAAAAAAAGACTTATACCTACTGTTGGTTTACTGGTACTGTTACTTTTGGTCAGTCGTTGAATATTTAAGCACAAAACCCCTGAAAGCATTTAGCCTATGCTTACATCAAATACGTTTAGATTTAGAATTACAGCAAATGGCAGGACATGTGACCATTGAAACAGTACTTCTGTGTTAGTTTGCACAGACATGAATGTAAAGACATATGGGAATGCACAACAAAACCAGAAACGATTCCAGGATAGCACACAAGCCAGAGCCGTCATCTAATTTAAACACAATATTATCTTGTTTAAATGCAATTATAAATTCCAGGTTTTCATACAAAACCTTTTCCTCTTCTGACTTTTCATATTGCTTGCAACTCTAAATTCACCTTACAGCATTACAGCCTATTCCACAACTCTTCATTATTTTATGTTGTGATGATTTTGCAAACTTTATTAACCAGTATTTGTGGAGCATTGTAGTTGTAGCTGTACTTTTATTTTAGACACCTTTCTTATCGTTCTCCAGGTTATTCTACTGCAGAGACTCAAACTACAGCTTGGTATCCAGGTACTGTGATATCTTAAGTAGTCCACATGTGCTTGAGACTAAGGGATTCCTCAGTTCTGGAAGCTGTATTTTCATTTGCATTGTTGCAGGGGTTGGTAACTTCAGTAGTACTGATCTGTTACCATGTACACCAGAAGCAGCACAAGGTGAGGAGATTTTATGTGCTTCCCAATGAGCATTGAAGTCAATCCAGGATAAAGTGAAGAGTGATGATAGTTGTGGGCTACGGGTACTGTGGGAGCAGGGCTGCACCTGCATTATACCACAACCCCAAGCAATATGGGATACCCCTCTCAATGAGACCTGAAGTCAGCAACTTGTGTGGCCGAGAACAAAGCCCCAGAACTCCTCGACAAGAACTTCCAGCTAGTGCTGACAGCTGTCCTGACATTCAGAGCTTTCTTTTTGAGAAGTTGTATCTGCAGCTTAACACTAATACCGCGACAGATGATAGATATACTGTGGTGAGCTCTTCAGAGTATGACAGAGACTGTGACATGATTATTGCAGGTACAAGAGCATTTTCTCTTTGCTGTTTTTGTGCAGATGTCACAACAAGCAGTAGTGGATCCTGCAGACACTATTGTGGGTACCATCTTGGCAGCTGCTCCTGCTATTCCTCCTGCAGATACTACGGTGACTGCTGCCATGACTACTATGGTAAGGCTTAAGGCTTCAGAGGAAAACAGAGACTCTACATCTGCTTTGGATCACATTTTAGAATGGAAAAACGCATTGCAATATCTACATTCACTTCCAAATAAGGAGTACCTTATATGTATATTAGAAAACAATTTCCGAAGTCAAAACAGGGGTTGAATTCAGTTTCTCATGAATTGGCTGCTCATGCAGATTAGCTGTTTAAGTGTTCTGCTGGTGGTGACAGTTTTTCTTCTTTCCTGCAGATTACTGCTACGCTACGACTCCTGATTTTGTCACCACAACAGGTACTTGACTTGACACTAACTTGTGAAGTTTTAAGCGTTGGTCATTATTGCAGGTACAAGAGCATTTTCTCTTTGCTGTTTTTGTGCAGATGTCACAACAAGCAGTAGTGGATCCTGCAGACACTATTGTGGGTACCATCTTGGCAGCTGCTCCTGCTATTCCTCCTGCAGATACTACGGTGACTGCTGCCATGACTACTATGGTAAGGCTTAAGGCTTCAGAGGAAAACAGAGACTCTACATCTGCTTTGGATCACATTTTAGAATGGAAAAACGCATTGCAATATCTACATTCACTTCCAAATAAGGAGTACCTTATATGTATATTAGAAAACAATTTCCGAAGTCAAAACAGGGGTTGAATTCAGTTTCTCATGAATTGGCTGCTCATGCAGATTAGCTGTTTAAGTGTTCTGCTGGTGGTGACAGTTTTTCTTCTTTCCTGCAGATTACTGCTACGCTACGACTCCTGATTTTGTCACCACAACAGGTACTTGACTTGACACTAACTTGTGAAGTTTTAAGCGTTGGCCTTGTGGTTAATTTGCATACACAATACACATATGCCCCCAACAGGTTGTTTCTGAGAGCTCAAAAGGCTTCAATTTCAGGTGCTGTTGCTGAGCCACAGAGAGATTCCCTACTCAACAACATCTCTTTCAGACAGATCCCTAACTGCCACTAGCACAGCAGAATGGAGTAGTGGTTGGGGGCTCTATACTTTTTCCTGGGGTTCGTGGGTTTAAATCTTAGGTAGGACACTGCTGTCATACTTTTGTGCAAAGCACTGCTGAACATATGGTCGCTTTCCAAGTCATTGTTGTAACTGAGAATTTATTCTCAAATTACATATCTGTTTAAAGGATTAAAAAAAACAGTTATACACAATAGCCCTTAATATTTTTTTATCTATACATTAGAGATTGAATAAATAGCATCTTTTAAACATATTTGCTAAAGACTTGTACAATACACAGATTCTAGCATCAACCATAGGTTAAGGAATAATCAAAGCAACTCTCTTTTCATTAGCTGCTGCCTTGACAACAGACAGTGGATCCTGCAGGTACAATTGTGGTTACGACTTCGGAAGCTGCTCCTGTTCTTCCTCCTGCAGTTACTATGGCAACTGCTGCCCTGACTTCTGTGGGTACTGCTCCAGCTTGGACTATGGTAAGGCTCCAGGGAGGTCCACTGGGTCACTTCATAATGAGGGAGGATTCTAGGGCACTGTAGTCCACCTGTCGAAGTCTATTTACATGTACTGTACTTTCAGTTAAAGGTTTTATTACTAACAGTTCTTATTTACTGTAAGGCAGTGCTGTATAATTGCAAATAATTATAAATTGTACTGTATAATTAAATTGCATAAATGCAATAATTATCCTTTTTCTCCTGTAGGTTACTGCTATGGAACTCCTACTCCTAGTATCCCTACTCTTCAATGGGATACTACAACAGGTACTTGGCATTTTCTGAACTTCACAGAGTTAAGAATTCTGCACTTGCTAAAATAATTTATGACATATTATTTTCTAAGGTAAATTAAACACTAGAAATCTAATTTAAATTTCTCCCAATTCAAGTTTATTAAATTAAGTGAACATTTTGATTTCACCACATTTAAAAATTAAAAATATATTGGTCCTTTTCTTTGTGAGTAGGTGTAAATAGTGGAATATATAGCAACATAACAAACAAAATATATTTTTGTCTTGATACATGAGTTTATCATGTTTAATACTGTGGCAAACAGTTGTCTGTCTCTGTGATACTTGTAGCCTCTTGATAAAGTGCTACTAATTGTTTCCAGCTTCCAGTGGCTCATGCAGGAACAACTGTTATGGCTATAGTGGAAATTGCTCCTGTTCCTCCTCTTGCTCGAACCATGGCAACTGCTGTAATGACTTCTGTGACTACTGCCCATATGTGAATCACGGTAAGTAATTCTGCTGCTGTCAATCAAGAAACAGTCATCTGTCAAAGATAGGTTTTGCAGAAAGTTCCTGATCAGCAATTACTACTAGTTTTATATTGAGTTTTAGTTCTTTTCTGGATTTAGTTTTCTCAATTTATATCCCAGCACGTAGCAATATAATACACACAAGGTAGCTCATTATCATTCTTAAAATGAAAGTAAATAAGATTAAATTGACCTTATGTTAATTAATTGATTTTGGCAAAGAAATAGTGTTCATTTTTGGTTCCAGAGGTGCTTAGCTCAGATGTGAACTGAATTGAACCAAAATGTGTTCAAACCAGATGTACTGGAACATGTTAAATAATGTGTGTTTTGTGCTCTTTCAGTTTTCTGCTACCCCATCACCACACCAACTTCGACACCAAGTACAGGTATTCTCTCCTTGCTGTACAAGAGGAAGTGATATCAGCATAATACTTTATTTGTTTGCTTAGCTCAGGAGGTGTATTAACAGGGTTCACCAAAGAACAGTTTTTAAAGAAAGATGTTAAGAATATGGTTATTTTTACATCACAGAAAGCAGTCCTGCAGTGTTACTATTAATCTATGGAAAGTGAAGACATTTCATATTGCTACTTTATTGGGGGTACTTTGTTGATTTTTTTTAATCCACCACTTTCAGTTTGGGGATCATGCAATGGAAATTGCTATGGCCATTCTGGAAACTGCTCCTGTTCCTCCAACTGCAGTTACCATGGAAACTGCTGCAATGACTTCTGTGATTACTGCTTCAATGTGGACAGCAGTAAGTAGCAGAGCAATAATTAAACCTTTGATCATCACTTGCTAATAGATATCACAGTTTGCTTATAACAATGATCACTATATAACAAATTATAGAGGTAGACAATATATTATATTTTAGATATAATAATAATAATAAGAAGAAGAATGCTTTTTACAGTGGCTCTCAAAGCACTTTACAGAACAAAAATAAATAAACAGTGAAGGGAGAGAGTAGGTGTTCGGAATGTGGCAGGAAAGCAAAGGATCAGACAAAGGAGCATTGAAATGTAAACACTTCTAAAAAAGAAGGTTTTGAGTCTTGATTTGAAAGAGTGTAGTTTAGTCTCTGATATGTATAGGGGTGGAATTCCAGAACTCTGGGGCTTAGCAGGAGAAGGCCCTGTCACCCATAGAGTGTAGATGGGCGTAGAGGTCAGACAGGAGACCAGAATTAAAAGAGCACAGGTTGCGAGGTGAGGAGTAGGATGATACCTCATAGGTATAGATAGATGAAATAAAGGCCAGCAGCCATATCACCCTGCAACTCACAACTGGCAACCCACTGAAGCTAAGCAGGTGTGAGCCTGGTCAGTACCTGGATGGGAGGCCTCCTGGGAAAAACTAAGGTTGCTGCTGGAAGAGGTGTTAGTGGGGTAAGCAGGGGGCGCTCACCCTGCAGCCCATGTGGGTCCTAATGCCCCAGTGTAGTGACGGGGACACTATACTGTAAACAGGCGCCGTCCTTCAGATGAGACATAAAACCGAGGTCCTGACTCTCTGTGGTCATTAAAAATCCCAGGGTGTTTGTCGAAAAGAGTAGGAGTGTAGCCCCGGCATCCATGCCTCCTAATAATCCCCCTCTATGAATTGGCTACATTACTTTGTTCTCCTCCCCCCCCTTTCCCACTCCAATGGCAGGCGGAGCGACGCGCAGGTTGGAGTATTTCTCGGTCGCATTTAAGCTCAAAGATTTGGTTCAAACCACCAAATGGAGACGGGCGTGCCGACAAGCGGACCCTGCTGATGCGGGATTGACGCTAGGAAAGAGAGAGAGGTATAGATAGATGAAACCTGATAGGAAACCAATGCAGGATCTCCAGGATAGGAGGAATGTGATCACTTGCACTAGACCTGGCTGCCAAATTCTGGACATACCCTTCATAATTTTGTTCAATGTGGATTAAGATGCCCCAACAAGTAGGCCATTACAGTAATCAATATGAGAGAAAATCTAATGTTCATTCTTTTTTGAGTGTGTCAACTATTTAAAAACTGTCCTTAAAAATGTTTTTCTTTGAATGCTAAAGACTGAAATGCTATGTTTTATTTATGTATAGACATATTTGCTTATATAAATATTACAGATTGTGCCATCACAGAACTAAGTATTAATACTAAGACCAGCATTTTAAACACCTTGTCTTTTTCATCAGGGACTGATTTCATTTTCTTTTCCCCTTTTTTAGGCTACTGTTTCAACCGCCCAGGTGATTGTACTCCCAGCATATTATCTTGGGGCAACCAAGCCCTAGCTCTCACTATCACCGGAGATAGTAAAAGCAGCTTTACTACCAGAAGAACAATTATTGGTCACATAAATCTGCTTTTCCATCCTTCTGCTAAAGTGTGATATGTGCTGTTGTCTTTTGATATGTGTTTAACCTGTCCTAACTATTTTAAAAAAGAGTAATATGATAAATGGAAAACTTGTATTTCTAGGTTACTGTGGGGGTAACCTTGGTGGCTCCTCTGGTTCGTTCTCAAGCCCCAATTACCCCAATAATTACAACAATGGAGCTAACTGCATATGGCACATCACAGTTCCCAACGGACAGAAAGTCTTTTTGACTTTCACTGACTTTGAGTAAGTGTGAGATTCTTCAGCATTTTCTAAACGTTGACAATCTAAAACATGTAGGCAACTAGATTTAATATTTTGGGGATAGATGCGTGTTAAAATAGTATTAATCAACTGTGTATTTTCCTCAAATGCGTCTTCTGGTAGGAAGGTCTAGATGTTGCATACAAAATCGACAAAAATATAGCATCTCATGTACAAGGACCTCATCCATTTCAGCTGAAGACAGCATTAAATATTTGTTTTCTCTTTAGACTTGAGTCATGTGGCAGCTGTGGCTGTGACTCTGTCTCTATATACGATGGACGCACATCTTCTTCTCCTCTGATTGCGAAGATCTGTCAGAACACGACATCAGACTCGTACCACTCAACCTCCCACTACATGACTGTGGTCTTCAGAACAGATGGCTCTGCTGTCAGAAAAGGCTTTCGGGCTATTTACAGCAGCACTGTGCCAGTATATGGAGGTGAAACACCAAATTCAAAGCATTTAGAAAATACATTTTCCAAAATAATTCTCCTGCTGTAAAACCACTATTCCAATTTCTTCTAGAAACATTATATACTCTACATGCCCCAGTTAAAGGGATTGAGTATTGCTTTGCATTGTCCCCTCATTCCTCATTAAGACCTCAGTGAGCACTGTGAGGAACAGTACAGTGCAGTGGTACTTAAAACTGCTACCTCCCATCTTCAAGGTCTCAGGCTTTATTCCAGCCTTTGTTTGGCACTTGTCCGTAAAGTTTTTCTCCCTGCATTCATATCATGGCTATTGCTGGATACTCTGGTTTCCTCCCAGAGACACAGAAGTTATGTTTATTTGACTACTGTAAAATGTCCCCCAAGCTCTGATCCCTGGTTCACTCAATTCACATCTCATTAGCTGTCCGTGGGTTGAGTTGCACAGGCTCTGGTTCTGGGACTAAAGGGAAAGAGCAACGTTGAATGCTAACTGAACAAGTTCAATAGAACTGAAGTATCTGAAGTGTCTGTTAGAGTATGCAGCTGATCCCAAATGTTCAAATATCACTGAGTTTCAGGACTGTCAAGAAAACAGGTTCTGTAATAGGTTCTCTAATATCTCTCGTCTTTGTTAAGCTCAAGTGGAGTGCTCTTCAGATGCCATGCGAGTGATCATCCAGAACTCCTACCTGGACTCCATGGGACTTACTGGCAATGATTTATACCTCAATGACCAATACTGTCGACCTGTGTTCTCTTCTTCCCACGTAACATTCAATGTTCCACTAAACAGCTGTGGGACAGTTCGAGAGGTAAACCTTTCTTTAAATTGAGTCAGTTTTTCATCCAAACACCTGCTTCAAAAAAGTAACTAACAAAATACTGAACTCAACAGAAAGCAGCTGAGAAGTGCCAGAGCCATTCCTTCAGAACTCCGGTGGAGAGCAACTGCTTTATTGAGCAGGCAAATTAAAATATAGAACACGAATGTAGAGTTAATTCTCACAGTTCAAAACAGAGGACACAACTGTGGGATTTTCATGCTGTCCAGTGGTGGAACTTCATTCGAAACTAATCCTCAATTACTGTGCCTAACTAACCCAGCTGCATGAGCTGAGGGTCAGGGCTGTGCTACCTACAGTACCTGTGGGTTAGATCTTCACAAGGAGGCAGGCCAGGTTTCCGTCACTCACACATCTTTTAATGTTTCCCTCCACTTCCTCCACGGCACAGGACAGCCGCGGGCGCATCACGTACATCAACGATGTAAGGGCTTTCGTCTCCAGCTCGGGAGAGATCACACGCCAGTCCCACATGCAGCTCCGCGTGGGCTGCCGGATGCAGCAGGACACCATGGTGCAGATCATGTACGTGGCAAGGGAGCGCGTGACTGGCAACATCACCGGCTCAGGGAACTACAACGTCAAAATGGCCTTCTACACATCCAGCAACTTCTACTACCCAGTGACTATGTCTCCCTATGTAGTGGATCTTAACCAGTTCCTCTACGTGCAAGCGCAGCTCCAGAGCAGCGACAGCAACCTGGTGATCTTCCTGGACACATGCGTGGCCTCCCCCTCTCCCACTGACTTTTTAACACGAACCTACGATCTGATTCGTGATGGGTAAGACAATTCAAACCAGGTGGAGCTGGAAGAATTCGTATAATGTTTTCAGAAGAATACAATCCTCACTTTTTTGCATATATTTGCAATTAATTCAAAACAAAGTGTGTACATGCCAGGAGTTCAAAATGCATTTACTAAATATTACAGACACCATACTGCATTCATTAGCCTCAAAGAATTATCTCAAGTTTTGTGATAAAGACCTTGTGTCACCAGTGGACACTTAAGCTTGGAGAACTCTTCTTGCAGTGTTTTCTCTTGAATTTATTTAATGTTTTTAGTCCATCAGCAACTATTTTGGGGGATAATTAGCCATACAAATTTTACAACAAAACAAACTCTAAAAACAGGCTTTTACAGTGCCACAGGTCTTTAATTTTCATTACTTTCTTGTTAAATAAATGCTGTCCATGTTTTTGTTTTGCTAAATTAAAAACGTTACAATAACATTTACACAAATACATCTTGAATTAAGCTTCTGAACTCACTTTAGAAGAGCCTGTGTTGTGAACCCAGGGCACAAGTACCTGCATACATGTTGTGCATTTGCTCACGCACAGTCTTGTCTGTCTTGCAGCTGCAGGAAGGACAGCTCCTTTTACAGTTACGTCAGCGGTACCTCGACAGTGGCGCAGTTCAGATTCAGTGCCTTCAAGTTCATACGCTCCCATCCCTCAGTGTACCTGCAGTGCAGGATTGCAGTGTGCAACGCCTATGACAACTATTCACGCTGTAAACAAGGGTGCCAACCCCGCAAGAGGAGGGACCTGAGCTCCTCCCATGAGAAGACCACCGTGGTGCTGGGGCCCATCCAGCTAAGGGGTAAGATCAGGACAAGTTCCCATTGTCTGGGTCTCCATGCATACCACAGTGCAAAGAACTCAATTTTTCTGCTAAAAAAGTTACATATCGACTGAGCTGCCAATCTAAAATTTCACGAGGAAGTTCAAAATGGTTTCTTTTCATTTTGCAACATTTAGAAATTGCATTTTCTCATTCCAAAAGTGTTTTTCATGCACTGTAGCAGAAAATGGTTTTAGACTACAGACTTGTTAGAACTGTAAACCACAATGTCCAGGAATACATTGTACCAAGTTCATCACTCTCCTGTCATTTTGACTACCCTGTATCTTTTTCAGTGGAGAATAGCTTTTTACTTAAGTATTCCCACTCAGTGTTAAACTCAATCTTTTCCTGTTTTTCAGATCCTACAAAGCCAGACAAGGAAACCCTGGTCCAAGCCATAGTGTAACAAGTCAAGGCCCAGCTTGATGCAGCCTTACTTACTATATCGGAGCTAACCTTCTCTCTTTCCCTTGACCAGTCACGATCCAGTCTTTCACCTTAATGCTTTTTAGGAGATTCATTAATTTCTAACTGTTTAGCACAGAAAATATTTTCCACCCTGTAATTCTATTAACCCAATAAAAAAAACACTGGCAAAACATTTCTTTTTTCGCCTCTGTGGTTTCATACAAGACTCCGTGGTGCAGATGAGACCTTATAAAGCTGTAATAAACTGTAAAATAACTGGAATCTTTGCAGTACATGGATTTCAGGTCATATGAAAAACATCTGATTTAAAACTGGGCAGAAAAAGCCAAGTTTATGAGATTCCCCACTTATTTTTAGTTAAACAGGAGAGCTTCAGTCCAAAACAGTTTAAGTTCTTGGTGGTTCAGAGAAGCCCTTTAATTTGCTCTCTCTGGTGGGTGAAGAATCAGACCAACCCATGGAATTCTGTGACAGGACTTGCATGTACAATACTGCCTAGCAAGATTGAACTAATATATTCTTCATGATGTTTGACTGTGACATCTCCCTTTTCAGACATAATTCCAAAACTTTAATTTTCAGATGTAATGACTGCCAATCTTAGTTCTAACAAGATCTTTGGGTTAAAAAAAATAAAACTAAAAACATAGCACATAAAAGTTAAAAGCCCTTTTCTGTTAACATGGACATGTGCAGGATTTATTAAAAGATCATCACAGGCATCTATACTGCAGTTCTTTGCTGTGATTTTTGGTATGTCACTTTTTTCCCCATTGTGTCTTCCCTTCTGAAAAATACCTTAAGAGCAGAAGCACCAATAAAAAACAAATGAGGACAAAAGAAACACTTTTAGACACCTGTTCTCTTCAGTGCCATCAAAGGACTAGGACACATCTGCTACCAGTACATTTTTCAGTCACCTAAAAAGGATTTAGGATTGAAGCTTTTCACAAAGTAATAGCATTCCTGCCAGAGGTACACCCTACTCATATATCTCCATTGAGCAGCACTGTTCTGCAGCTGCAGTGGGATTTGCCCGTCTGGACACTGTGGGGCAGTGCTGACAACACCCTGCTCTCCAGACTGTCCTGCAGGGCACTGAGGCGTTGGTCAATGTGCTCCATCAGCCTCCTCTCCATCTCCTCCAGCCGTTTCTGTAAAGCCTGTTCCACAGCACAACAGCAGGAGTGATCCTGCCTGAGAAACATGCAAAGGAAACACAGACAACATTAATCTTGACTGTCACGGATTCAGGAAGCAGTCAGCTAAAACAAGGAAAGCATTATTTATGTTTTTCAGTCCCCCCCCCACTACCAACAAAAATGCTGCAACATTAAGCTCAGTTCAATTACTATGCATGAAGGTTATGAAAGGAATACTATCACTGCATCCCTCTAATACAGTGGTTCT